TACCATGATGTTTTGAGCATGTGACACACACGGTTTCACTTTGCCCAAATCTGAGCCTGACGTCCAAACGATAGACAGCTTCAAACAGGCTATGAGGGGCGACCAAGAGTGCTCTATTCTGCAAGGTGAGCATTTGCCATGCGTGCCGTCTCAACAATCAGAGTCAGAAGTGAAGGGTCTTTGGGAGCTATGCAATCACAACAAAATCAAGCATACCTACACACAAGGAAAACACACACACACACACTCACAACCACAAAGGCATTTCCTGGTGAAAAACACAAGCTAGGTCCACTTCCGAGGCCTAGCATCAATCTTTTGTTTAATAACCATCATGTGGCCATTCCACCGCCTCACCAGCGCCGATGTCAGCCAGCGCATCCAGGAGCTGCAGAGTCGATGCCCCAAAACACTTGGGGGATCCAAGATTGCTCCGAAGACCCCTGGCAGAAGGGTAGAAACTTGGGTTGAAAGGGACCATCAACAGGAAACAAACTGGAAATCAGCTGCGAAATGAAGGACAATGCTAGGAAATCTGAGGGGGCTGCAGGAAACCTTAAGGAGTGTCAACTTCCTTAGCACTTCATTGTTGTACCTTTCTTTCTTGGAATACATTTTTGTACTTCGGAATCCGCAGGAGCACTGCAGCCCTGAAACATAGCAGTTTCTGGCCCGCCCATTTGTTGGTTCGAACCCAGTCTGAACCCCACAACTGTCTCTTCAATGACTGATCCACGCTTTGGCCCATATCTCCCTGAGCCACTGGTGTTGGAAAGGCCATGTCTAACGTGGCAAAGGGGAAGGGTGTCGAGGGCAAGGAAACTGGTTGGCCTTGTCATCACACATGCACTGCACCAAGCATTGAAAGCAGGGATCCTCCACATTCTGTGCTTCTTTTCGTTTTCCTTTCGAACCGCACCGACCAGAACCCCGGTTCGGGGAAGAAATTCGCCAAGCCTTTCGGAGCGAGGTGCTTCAAGCCGCGGAACCTGCCGCGCCTTGCTGCACTCGCTCTTCTTGAGGGCCGCGGCGGTGGCCAGCGCGTCCGCCAGGGCGCCCTTCGTCATGGCCTTCCCACCCTGGCACGAAAGGCGTAAGGGTTGCAGGTGAATCAGTTTATCTCTCTCTCTCGCTCTCTATATACCCCCTGGAATACCCATGTGTTTGGCCAAACATTTACCTTTTGGCTGTAAAAATGCATGCAAAGCACACGTTCCAGCTTCTAAAATGAGGCTCCAAAAATGCACTCCTTTTTTAGACTTAAATTCTAGCATTAGTACTTAGTGCAATCCAGGCAGGATGCTAGCACATCCTGGATTGAAGATTGAAGATTGCTGACAATTCTTTCCGGGAATCTTCAATCCTGTACTTAGGGCAATCCAGGGTGCGAATGTGCTAGCACATCTTGGATTGAAGATTGAAGATTGAGCATTCTTTGACAACACTCTCTCTCTCTCTCTCTCTCTCTCCTCTCTCTCTCTCTCTCTCTCTCTCTCTCTCTCTCTCTCTCTCTCTCTCTCTCTCTCTCTCTCTCTCTGTGGGATTTTTCAATCTTCAATCTTCAATCCAGGATGTGCTAGTTGTCAAATAATCTTCAATCTTCAATCCAGGCCCAAAGTGCGGATTTGAAGAATCCACAAGGCAGACCGGGAGCGCACGTTGTCAAAATCAAATTGTGGATGTGCACTTGAACTGCCTGCATTTGGCCAGGGGGAGAAATGTTGGTGACACCTTTACAGGTTTTTGTGGACTTGAGGGCTGGCCAGCATGGAAGATTCTCATATACAAAATCTGGTAGATCTTCAATCTTCAATGCAGGGGGCAAATCGTGAATGAGTCTAGAACAAAATGTCAAGCTTTTGGGGGGCCAGGATTGAGGATGTTCTAAAAATCCGCCGACATTGTTCGGCGTGTCGGATACTTACTAGAGGATAGAGGATAACCCCTCCCTCGCCCGACGTCAAATACGTAGTTTTTTTTTTTGGGGCCCCACGTACCGCGCGGCAATCTGACGAAGTTTCACTAAACGTAGTCTTCGATGAGCCGGTGTCGGCAAAACAGGGGTCCCAGGCTCGATTCCCCCTGCCGGCTTTTTTGCTGGCTTGGGCTTCCTGCATCCTTTGGCCGAAAATCTGAAAAACCCAATGTTTTTTTGGACGTCCTCTTTGCGAATACGCTGGAAAACAGTGTTTTTTTGCGGGAAATACTCGGGAGCAAAGGGGAAGTGCAAGGATACATACATACACATGCATACATACATACATACATAACATAACATACATACATACGTACATGCATACATTCCATTACATGACATTGCCTTACTTTGCCTTACCTTACCTTACCTTACATTCATTCATACATATATACATACATTACATTACATTACATTACATTACATTACATTACATTACATTACATTACATTACATTACATTACATTACATTACATTACATATTACATTACATTACATTACATTACATTACATTACATTACATTACATTACATTACATTACATTACATTACATTACATTACATTACATTACATTACACACATACATTACATACATACATACGTGCATGCATGCATGCATACATACATTACATTACATTACACACACTACATTACATACATTACACACATTACACACATACATACATACATACATACATACATCCACCCATGCATGCATGCATGCGTGCAAACATACATACATACATACATTACATACATGCATACATTACATACACACACATACATACATAAATGCATGCATACATACATACATTACATACATACATAACATAACAAAACATACATACATACATACATTACATACATACATTACAGTACAGTACAGTACATTGCATACATACATACATACATGCATGCATACATTCATACGAGCATACTTACATTACATACATACATACATACATGCATGCGTACATACATTACATACATGCATACATGCATACATGCATGCATACATTACATTACACACATACATTACACCACACTACACTACGTTACATTACATTACACTACACTACATTGCATACATACATTACACACATACATACATACATACATGCATATATACATTGATACGTACATACATACGTACATACATACATACATGCATGCATACATACATACATAACATACATACATACATACATTACATTACATGACATTGCCTTACTTTGCCTTACCTTCCCTTACATTCATTCATATATACATACATTACATTACATTACATTACATTACATTACATTACATTACATACATACATTACATTACATACATACATACATGCACGCATACATGCATACATACATTACATACATACATGCATACATACATACGAGAGAGGGAGCTTGGGGAGAGACAGGCTTCGGGGGATGGGAGGATGGGGAGCAGAGGGAGGGAGAGAGGACGACAGAACACACAAGGGAGACAAGGAGAGAGGAAGAAGGAGAAAGGGGAGAGGACAATGGACTGAGCCGGAGGCTCTAAAGTATGTTTGTGGATCTTGTATATTCGATCTTCGATCCAAGGCAGCGAGATCTGAGCAAATGCTGAAAAGCGCTGCGTCTTACAGCAGTTCTGCCAAAAATAAGACCTATGATTGACAACACTTTTTCTGTCATTGGCTTGGCTCAGTTCTTGCTTGGTTCAAACCACATGGAGTTCGACAAGGACATGGAAACCACATGTCACCCCTTTCAAAATTGAGTTTGATTTCAGGTTCATTTCGCCATGACAATAGCTATCTTCCCCAGTTGATTTCTTGAAATGCACAATAAGCTGCAAACGAGTAAAGCTGAATTTGGTTTGAACTTGAAAGCGTTTTAAGCTGGATATCCTTCCCTTTCTTGAATTTCAATAGCTGTTCTTGGCGATGATTGAATCAACTTAGACAAGCGACCCACAACTGAGATAGTTGCTTTGCAGATATGCTTCAAATAGACTGGCCTAGCATGTACATGGAATTGCGCACAACACTTGAGCTCGCATGTAAATGCAACTGCGCAAGGACATGAAGTAGGAATGAGTTCCTTCTCCCCAAGTTGATGATTTGCTGAATTTCGCTGCCAAACAAAAATAATAAAAACCAAATCATAGAGCTGCTACAGGCACGTTGCAGCTGCCAAAGCATACTTCGCGCACTACTCTTGTGCTGAAAAGTTGTGCTTTTTGAGCTGGATCTGCCAAAGTGCACTTTGCATACTCCAATGTGACTTTAAGTGCACTTCGCGCACGCCAATGTGACGGTCACAAAACTCCTACTCAACGTTGAGCTTAACTTCTGCTTGGTTGGAATTTGCATGGAGTTGCGCATCCAGTCAGTTCATTTCAGAGTCTCAAGGCATTTGTCAAACCCAGTCTGGCGAAAAACCTCGGTTCTGGCCAAAAACCTGGGTATTGCAAGGGGGGTAGCATATATATATATATAGATACACTTAATATTCACTACATCATTCCATTCATTTCCGCTTGGTTTTCCTTTAACACCACAAAGAAAGTGGGTATATACCCCCAAAGAAAACGCCGTTTCCTCTTAACCTGAAGTCAGACATGGCACCTTCATCGCGGCCATGGCCTTCATCGCTTTCATCGCCTGCGCCACATCGGACCGCGTCTACCGTTGACCCCTGGTGTTTCACCACCCCTAAGCTTAAGTCCCCCCTTCCAGGGGAGCGCAATCCAAACATGAAGCCCTGAATCTTGTCAGACATGGAGAACCGTTTCGCTGTCGCTTTTTTGGCCGCCTTCAACAAAGGGGTTCAGCTGCAGGAGTACACGCCCACCTTCATAGGAGCCATGGTGAGGCGGTTGGAAGTGCGTGTGACACAGCGCTTGATCACCAGAACTGCGGTCGGTGAATAACGCATGGAGACATTGCTGCCGTGAGCTGCCGTGACTCGTTTTGTTCTTGGCCACAACCAATCCAAGTCACCCATGAGGGGCTCCAACGAGAAAAGCAGCCGCCATTCTGCTGAAGCAAGGGCCGAGGATGGGCAAGGCGCACCGGTCAACAAATGACATGGATGCGGTCCGGCGCGCTTTCTCCAAACTTCGGGTCACCCGAACCAGCTGCCAGGACTGGCAACCAGTTTCTATACATTTCTGGCTCGACACGACTCAGTCGCCCAAACCTGGCCGGCATTGTTTCTGTTTTCCCCCCCCTTTTCTTCCTTTTTTCTTGCTTCCCCTTTTTTCCCCGGCATGTGTGCCTCTGAAAACCCACGGCATTCGGGAGAACCGCTCTCGGACGGCGTTTTATAGGCGGCGTAGGACCCATAGCAGCACCCCATGCTCCAAGCCCCTTGCAGGTCAGAAGCCCTGCTTCCAGGGGGCTTTGCGCATCAATGGCGTCATGCACCAACTTTGAGGTGGAGACACCCACTTTTTCCCTTGACAGATGGCTTGTGGGTATCTCGAGGCTTCTCCTGAACACCCGAGACACCGCAAAACAACCCAACGCAATCTCACACAAATCTGTCAAACACCTCCTTTCAGTTGGAGCTACTTGGCTTTTTGCGATTGCCTTTTGGGGCTCTCGAGGTTTTCGTGAACACCAAAAAAAAGCCTCAAGGAAACCAACCCAACCTAAAGCAAATCTGTGAAACAAAACCTTTGAGTTGGAGATATCCAATATTTCTCTTGACAGACTTCGTTCTCGAGACAGTTCATAAACACACAAAAACACATTCAAGAACCCCGCCCCATCCCGAAAGAAAACACAACAAAAACACAATCTGTCAAACAACACCTTTGAGTTGGAGATACCCGACATGTCCCTTGACAGGGGTGGGATTCCTCAGGGTTTTGGAAGTCTGCTAATCTGAGCCACTGCATTCGCCCATGCCTGCTGGTGATACTTTCAGCATTTATGAATGTAGAAACATTTTGCTTTGCGCCTTCCTTCTCTCAAAACGCGAGCTTGATCTAGGAACCATCTGCCTCAACCGTGCACTCTTTGCACTATTTCTTTTTCCGTTGTATTGCATTTGCTCTTGTTTGTTCTTGAGCTGCATCCATTCTAACCCCTAACCCGTACTTGTTGCATGTTTGGTTGGACACTCTTCTGTCCTGCTGCTCATCCTTTTCAAACATATGTATCTAGCATGTGGTTGCACTTATTCTGTGTTTCTCTTCTTCCTCCTTTCTCTTTAACATGCGTTGTCTGCGTTGTGTCATGTTCTTATCTTTTCCGCTTCCTTGTTCTCTTACAAGTATGTATTTGTGGCATTACTTTCTGGAACACGTGCACTCCTTCTCTTGCCAGCTTCCTTTCACACAATGCCTCGTTTTGTATGCGCGCAATTGCAGGACAAGGAGCAATTGCTTACGTAGCATTTCAAATATTTTTAATGCTGCTTGGCAAGTTGCACAGATCAATTGTGGTCAAGAGTGTTTAGGCTGCGAACAAAGGCAACACATTGTGCTAAGACTGTATCTATTTTGAAACATTGGGAATAACAAACTTGATAGCATCTAGCTGCATGCTGTGTTTGGGGCACAAACCACGGTGTCTTCGTAATTTGCAAAAACACAGGCCCCATGGTAGCCCGCTTCCTAAAGAACCTTTGAAAAAGCTCGTTTTGCTGGGTCAAATAAAGGATGCCCTGGTGTCATTTCAGGGATTTGACCGACCTGGCAGCGTGCCCGCCACAGCTGCCCGGCTTATGACTGCGCCTGCGAGGCAAAAGGGCAGGCAGCTCACCCCATCCGAGCTGGACACTTCGCTTTGATTGTTTCCCAATGCTTGGCTTACCTTGGATTTCCCCTTGAAACCTGGTGAACAGCACATCCCCCATTTGCAGAAAGCATCTTCCGAAGGAATCCTTTCATCGCTTGTTACATCTATCCTTGCAACAGGATGGATGCCCATTCTCAACCGTACAACCACGTCGCTGCCGCCGCATCTTCAGCTAGAAGCCCACTGAGAACTGCGACTTGGCCGGCATCGGGCAACACTATGCACCCTCTGCTGCACGGGTACGGCTGCGTCAACGTGATAGAGACTGGAGCAAAAGGTCGAACTTGTCACACTGTACTATGGTGCTTGCTCTCAGGCAAAATACGTGTGGTCCAGCTACATGGGTTCACACACGTCTGCGCCCCAAGCCATGCCCGGCCTTTAGAACTGGTGCTTCAAAGCAGCCACCGGGAATGCCTTCACCACCTGACATGTTGGAAGAGGATCCCGTGATCTTCCGGAATCCAAATGCTTCGCACCGAAATGGGCAAGGGGTCCCCAAGCCTCCTTGAGTCTATGGGAACTGGCTGGAACGGTGGATGGCGCGGAGCGGATTTGGAAGTCTGAGGTGCCCGAAAACGATATGACGGGGAATCCTGAATCAAGCAAGCCCACGGGGCGGAAGAGCTCATCGCACCGATGAAGTCATGTCAAAGACAAGGCATCAGCATTCAAGACATGTATGTATATATTACATACATACACATATACACAATCATTTGTGACCAGTGACACAACCAACGTGCCCATTTGTTTCACATGCGCGCTCGCTCTCTGTCTCTGACTCTCCCTCTCTCTCTCTGTGCTGAGACCCCCGCGGTCTTCGCTGGCTTTGCCTCCGAAGACAAGGCAAGAGCTTTCTGAGACAAACACAGTGCACGCAAGGCAGTTTCAAGCTTTACATCACCTTTCTCCCCACAAACCTGGAGACTGAGGGAAGCACTTGAACAACAACTAGTTTCTTATTATCGGAGAGGAGGGCATATCTTCCGAACCCGACTGCTGAACCCCGGCAACATCATGACATACTGCGCGGCGTCCTATGAAGGTGTGGCACAAAGCCAAACATGGGGTCCTTGTTTGCTCCTTGCACATTGCAGGACAAGCGTATGTTCGACCAGGAATTTGACCTGCGGAGTGCAAGCATTCAAAACACTCTCTCAGGATGCTGAACGAGCAACAAAAATCACCATCGAGTCAAACCAACACTCACAGCATCCAAGCCATCAGCTGCCGCCGCTCCTTCGCCCCCCGGGCCTTGACCTTGACCTCCTTGCCGAACATCATGCGCTTGCCCGCTTTGGTTGCCTTCTTCTGGCCTCGGCGCGGAGACGTACCCTCGCAAGATGCGGCCGAAATGGCGCATGGTGGTGGACAACTGGGTGGGCACTGAGTGGGCTGTTCTCTGTGATACCGACGGAATTCTCGAAATGACAAAGTAGTCATAGGAATTATTCACTTTGGCAATCTTCCATTTTCTTAAGCCTCCTGGACAAAATAAGCATACTTCCAGCAGTGATATATTCAGTGATAAATTCCCTTTAAAAACCAACACGAAAAGCGAGAACATATTCATTTCGGCAAATGGAAGTCATAGAGACGGTCATTTCCAAGAACCATGTGAAACATGGCGCTCTGGGTCGCGGGCGCGTCTTGATCATGCACAGCCCGGGAAGAGTGAACTTGCCAGTCTTCACCACCTGACA